ATTCCAAAACCAATCTTACGATTAGAGCTCATTTGATTTCATAAAAGTCAAGCATTTTTCAGTCGATAATGTCAATTTACTGTTCGTTTTCTCATTGTTTGCAGTGCACATTGGTTGATACGTACATCAGTAAGAGTTGGTTTGGGTCCGACTGCGAATCGTGCTCTATTGGTGTATGCACGTAAGCAAGGTTACACGAATTTGATTCCTCGACCCTCAGTCAAAGAGTCAAATGCCAGTAGCAGATCTACACGCACACAATAGTCAACAATCTCAAGTCCTTTTCTCATACACTGTCAATGATGATCTCAATTGGAAATGCGTTATCTTGATGTGTTAAGCATAGATATCTGAATATATTCGGTTTGTATGCAATTGTTTACTACGTATGCTTCATGCAAATTATTCGAGTAGTTGTGTAGAATATATTCAAATGAGTATGTGCTGAAGTAATTCATTTTCTTGTTACGGTTTGATCTTAAACTAGAACGTTGTTTGATGGCAATATAGAAGCGGTCACACCAGTGAATTGCCGGATAGTGGTGATTCCGTTCAGAAATTACCACATAATCCTGTGTTAAAACTTATTCATGATATATGTCACTTTTAATGAATCACAGTGGTATTTGGAATTGCTGTGAATTTATATCAGGATCAAATTACATATTGATGTTGAAATTTATGAGTTGAATGTTGAATAAAGGTTTTTTGTTGTTTAAAAATTCTCCTACATTCATCCGAAATGAATCAGTTCGCATGGTTTATTTCCATACGTATTTGTTTCTTGTATATGTTCGCAATAGTTTGTCTTGAGGAAGCATGAACCCATAAAGGGGCATGTAATATTAAACTGTCGTTTTTCTGAATAATCCCATTTCGACCATCGATTCAGCGATCTCAAAACAGTTGCTTCATTCAGTTAGCTTTTATAAGATGGAATCTCATACGATTTAAATTTTGACAATGATAATTCGGAATACAACTTATGCAATGACAAACTTCAGTGGCAGCAATATGGTTCTCGAGACAATAACTCTCGAAGGATACGATGCGTTGAAGAAGGTTTTGGATGGTTCGAAAACTCGAACTGCCATTCTTTTCACAGGATCCAAAGACACTTCAGGCAAAAGCTGGTGTCCAGACTGCGTTGCTGGTTCGTAATTGAGAGAGTCCTCTGGTTTCGTCTTCTGTTGATTTCTTTTCATTGCAAACACAAATACCCAGAGCAAATAAATCGAAATGATCAATTGAAATCTAAACCGTTCACCAAAAATGATTGTTTCCTCTTCAGCTGAACCAAATTTGAATAAAGTAATCGAATCGCTGTCGGCATCGTCTTTCGCTGCACAAAACAACGTTCGTTTTGTGGAGTGCCGCGTGGGTCTACGTGAATAGT